CCCGCCGTAATAAAACTAACAATGTCTTACCGTACGCTTTTGGATTCTATCACTCTTGTCAGTATTTCCTATCTCGCTCTTTTTCTGTATTGGTTTTATCTTGAATCAGTTTGAAACAGACCGCTACTTGTTGCCTGTTGATATATACCATTTCTCAAGTCTCGTGCGCTCTAGGTCAGAATCCATATAGTGCAATTACCTATGTTTTGTCTTTTGAATCCTTTGGGCTCCAATCAATCACGACGGTCGCTTTCACCTAGGTAAACATCAAGATTTAGCTTGAACCCGGAATCCTCTAAACAAAACCCGGGATGCATTAGCCACGATCCGTAGTCCTTTAGCCTTGGGGCACACTTTAGTCATGCCGCTGTAGACAGATCAGATTAAAATATCGGAATATTGTGCGATCAGCAGATGTTTACATGTTTTGTATCTGCAAATGTTGATGTTACAAAGCGTGAGGTATGGCGTTCGCATGCTGAGTATTTGACTGTCTAATGGTTTCACCACATTGAAGTTAGAGTAGGTTAAAACGATCAGCCCGTATCATCAAATCATTTGGCACATCCCGCATGGCTTCAGTGTTTCCATATAAAATGCACTATTCCTATAAATTAGGATCTCAAATGTGACACAGTTTACTGGTTTGCATTCTCCAGTCCAATGATACAATAAAAGACGTATGCTTCCGTGCCATATCTCCTCCTAAAGTGAGGTCGATACATTAACAGTCCGCGGATAATGAACACTGTACACCTTTTCCCACCAAAATTTAGTCGAAACTCGCAATTCTCGATCGTTAGTTGTGTCAAATGTTGAAGCATTGATAAACTGATGATAGTAATTGATCATGTATTGTGGTGAATGCTATTTATTATCCTCGGACTGATCATGTATCTACCCCTCAAAAACGAAGTTCACTTTAAGCGGAGATTCGGAACGGTCAGCATACACCTCTTAATCTATTTCAGGACTTGTAAATGCAAAACAATACACCGGTTGTGTTATATCTGAGATTTTTATTTACACCAGTAGCGCGTTTTATACTTCCCTTGTAGCACCGTCATGCGTCATTGGATTCATCTGCATTGGGGCTATAAAAACATCACTATCGATCGCAGTAATATTTGTCGTGCGTTACCTACCGTTGTATGCATCTGCAATAAGGAGAAAGTTAACTCGGGTGGACGGAAAAAGCCCCAGTGCGGAGGACCGACGGAGTGTAATTGAATGCGCACGTACGGGTGATGATTTGAAAGACTACCAAACGCCTCGGCGTTAAGATCACAATATGCAGTGTGTTATTATCGAGAAATAAGACTCAACCCCGGGTCTTACGGTGCAACACGACGATTCGGTTAAGAAGCTGACCATCCACCCTGTGGAACTGAACTCGGAAACTGTCAAAGTAAAATGAGCATCATATACCCATTGGCTACGCCGATCGGGCAACTGAACACTGGGGATGTATGTCAACGAGATCAACTACAACAAATGGTGCTGTCGCATCTACGGCCGGTCCAAAGCGGGCTGTAAATGCGTTCGAAGCCTCCCATCCAGAAAAGGATCCGACTTGAACATAAAAACATGTGTTCATCGGTCGTACAAAGATTACTGCGTATGTTTTCAATTGATCTCTATCCTGTTGCTCCACGTTAATCGCTGCTGAACCACCGGGTGTTCCAGCTGTTTTTTATCTTTGATAATGCGGCCGCTCATCGAAGATATTTGGATGTGCAGTTACATAGCAACCACTGAATTTGATTTCTTCCCATTTAAGTAGCTGAAGAGGCCTTCAGTAAATTCTAGCAAGTAACCGTTTTTCATTGGCTTATCATTTAGCAGGTTAGAAACTGGTTTACCGCCAACATTGGGATGTGTCAAGTGATTTGATGACACGGACACAGCTTAACCCTTCTCCAATCGATATGTTGTGCAGCATTTCATACCATTACGACGGTCGGACGCGCAGCATACGAATGTCACAACTCATTTCTTAACCAAGCTTTGAAGCATCAATATTTGTGGAAAATAAAATATTTCAATTTTCTTAAAATATTCCCATTGGTGCATGAAAACAAAGTAGAACAGCGAAGAAGTTTCTGCTCGATCTATTGCTTCGGACATTTACATACATACAGTACTGGCCGATTGTGATGCACTAAGATATTTTCTTTATGATCAAATGGAGTTTCGTTATATTTATCACCTGCATTAATGCTTTAGGTATGGACAATAATTTATATCTTGTCTACTTCGATCTACGTAGTTTCTAGGCTGCATGAGTGTCAGTTAAACGTACCTGAGACTCGAAAAGATCCAATCGACTATTAGTACACACAAACTTTAAAATCTTACTCATTATCAATGTTAATTTGTTGTTTATAAAAACTGTTCCGTCCTCCTTAGTTACCTGTTAACTCATCATGGTCTAGGCCAACCATTACTGACAAAATGGGAGTATCCGCTACCTTCCGAACCATTCCATCTGCTGGGTATAAACGAATCAGAAAAATCACGTCTATAAAGACTCACCTAGGCTTGCTTATTATCGTTTGGAAAAAAAACTTACTTCAGTATAAATGCTGTTGCCTATACGAACCGACAAGTGTTTCATAGGGACTCGTTGCTTCAGTTTCGATCAGACTTGTATTTCGATTAGTCAGTAAATAAATAAAAGGCTTAAGCTGATTTTGAATGAAAGTTTGTATGCAAAATATTCGGTTGACAACAAGCTATAGGGGTCCCGGTGGTTGGATCAAGTTTGTACAACCATTAGCCATGCACATCCGCGCGCCGGTTTTGGCTGCCCATTTGGATGAACAGTAGTAGAAAAACAGGATAGTTGACTGTTGAGTCGAAGTGAAAATGGAGAAGTTCATTGGACCAAGTTGCAAAGAAATTGAAAAGATGCGCGAACGCTACTGTGTTCGACACTCAGCGATATCACGCAACATCCCTAATCGTTGATTAAAATGATCCCGAGGTTCACATAATGGAGCCTTAAAGGACCAACGTGACCGAGTCTCCTGGTTAGGTCATTTCATGCCCTCGTGCCAGGTCTGATTTTCACCACCATTTGGCTTTTTTCCACCCATTACCTGTCTCGGTAAACATCGGGCGCGGTGGCAACCTATTTGGTGACGTGCCCAACACGGCCTAAACAACACAATCTATGGAGGTCGACCACTT